GTAGGCCGACATCCGTTCATCTCGGGCAGCAAACTCGCCCGTTGTTTGGTTAACACTGAGCTGGGAGTCGCAGAAGACTATTACCTCGTCTGCCTCTACTGCTACTGCCAACTTCAGTCCTGTAATCAATGTTTCATACTCTGCTTCGTTGTTTGAGGCTTTGAACCCCAAACGAATGGACTGTTCCACTATCTGTCCATCTGGTGATATCAGCACTACTCCTGCCCCCGTTCCCTGTCGGTTTGAACTCCCATCAACGAACAGTCGAAATGAGTCGCCGATGTAAATGCTGCAGGGTCTGAGTTTTTTCTCTTTTCTTTGTTCTTTCGCCTTTGGCTGAGCTTCTCCTTGCTTGTTTGGACATCGTTCATCCTGGCTCAACGGAGCCCGATGCTCGATGGATTCTGACGTGAACTCGACCACGAAGTCGGCCAGAACCTGGCCTTTGATTGCTGTCCTTGGCCTGTACTCCAGGTCATATAGGCCTAGGATGACTGCCCACCTGGCTATTCTTCCTGTCAGGTCTCCTTGTTACAGTAAGGACTTCAAGGGGTGTTTTGTTAGCACCACAATTTTATGGGCCTGGAAGTAATGGTTCAACTTCTTTGAAGCCATTACTAAAGCCAGTGCCAATTTCTCTAAGGGTAGATGCCTCGTTTCTGCATCGGCTAGGGTTTTGCTTACATAGCAAACACCCTTTGTTCCCCTTTGTCTTCTCGGACTACTACCGTGCTTATCGCATGCTTTGAAACGGCTAAGTACAAAAATAGCTCCTCTCTAGGTTCTGGATTTGAAAGGACTGGAGCTGTGGTCAGATACTTCTTTAGGTCGGCCAAGGCGGCCTCGCATTCTTCGGTCCACAGGATGTCTGTGGCTTTCTTCACCAAGTTGAAGAAAGGTCTGCACTTGTCTGAGCTTCTGCTGATGAATCTGTTCAGGGCTGCGGCCCTTCCAGTTAGCATCTGCACCTGCTTTGCCGACATCAGGCTCTTCAACTCTAGGATGGCCTTGATCTGATCTGGGCTGGCCTCGGTGCCCCTTCTGGTCACCAGGTAGCCTAAAAACTCACCAGATCCAACTCCAAATGCATACTTCGATGCATTGAGTCGGAGCTGATATGTTTTAAGGATTTCAAAGACTGCTTTTAGATCGGCGAGATGACCCTCAGGTTTCTTGGTCTTAACGACCATGTCGTCGATGTAGACTTCTACTGTTCAGCCAATCAGGTGTTTGAACATTTTGGTTACCAACCATTGGTAAGTTACTCCTGCATTTTTCAACCCGAAAGGCATTATTCTGTAATAGTACAGGGCTTTTGGGGTGATGAACGCGGTCTTCTCTTCATCTGGGGGGTACATGGCTATCTGGTGGTACCCCCTGTAAGCATCTAGGAAGCTCATTCTTCCATGCCCTGAAGTGGCATCTACTAGCTGGTCAATCTTGGGTAGAGGAAAGCTGTCTTTGGGACAGACTTTGTTAAGGCTGGTAAAGTCTACGCAGACCCT